AAACTTGGCGGTGGCGGCAAGGTAACGGAAACCTCTCTTGAATTATTCACATTACGTCATCATTAATCACTCATTCGGCGTATTCGCAATATTTTTCGAGAAAGTGCTCTGAAGAAGCCTAACATCATCTCCGGCGACATCAACAAATACTTTTGCATGCAAAAAAACTGTGTGCACGATAACGGAACTGTTTAGATTTGTTTACATTAATAACACTATTGCGATAACTTGTTAAATATAGAAATACTTATGCTATAAAAAAATTTTGCAAAAAGGTGCTGGAGAAGCCCAACATTATCTTTGGAGGGATAAACAAGCATTTTCTTCACGCGTCTAGTACAGAGCAATTCATAATGGGTAAATCTATCTTCGACAAACAAGTGTTTAAGTCCGCTTTGGAAAAGTTATCTAATGAATTGAACCCCGATCATGTGCTGCCTGACTATTCGCCGAAATTTCGCAAGACTCTCGCCGAGGGATTATTTTATAAGTTTGTCTTGAGCATCAAACCGGAGAACATAAATCCCAGATTCCGTAGCGGCGGATTTATATTAAAACGAGGTCTCTCGTCAGGTACAAATAAAGTAACCAGTACATTTTTGAATCTTCATTTTTAAGTATTTTTTCGCGTTCAAAGTTTCAATATCTTCCATTCTATTTTTGTCTGTATTTGTAACAATGAAAGAATTTAATATATATCTTTGTTTTACATGTGTTAAAATCTAGATATGTTTTAAAATCTTACTGTTAACTTGATTGATCTTAATATCTTGATAATAAATAAATGAAATTGAATTAATTAATTAATTAATAAAGTTGATATTAAAGAAATAAATATGATTGTGAAAATTGACCTTGTCATAAAAAATCGGATTTCGTAATCCGATCTAATTGATCTAATTGATTGTGCATATGAAAAAACATGGTCATCCTAGGTACGCAGGACTTTGACGCGGATAAAACACTGTGGCCAGTGAATAAGCCCATGCCGAAATTAGATGCCATTAAGCAGACATCGGGCGAAGCCCAATATTGCAATGATCTGCCTCCATATCCTAGAGAAGTATTTTGCGCTTTCGTCCTCACGAAAGTCGGTAACGGCATGATCGACAGTATAGATGCGAGCAAGGCACTTGCTACGAAGGGTGTAGTGGCGTTTTT